CCCCAAAACCCCAAAACCCCAAAACCCCAAAACCCCGAGGGGTATTAAGAGGATTGAAAAGAGAAGTAATATGGGTGATAGGGAGGTTATTGATCAGTTAGGGATGAGAAAATGGTGGGAAATAAGATTATAAGTGTTTTGGGGAAGGATAATGTTGGTGAAGAATGTTCAGAAAAACCTTTAAACTAAATTAATTAAAAGTCGGAAGAAAATTAAAAGAGAGAGAGGAAGATTTAGCATAGCAAAGTTTTTAATAATTTTTTGGAATAAAAGACTCGAGACGAGGTTCCTAGCTTGATTTTGGATTGAAAATTGCTCACCAGCGAATCAATATTATTTATTTACATTTACAAGATAGCTGCATTTGTAATAGCTTACTTATGTTCTTCTAAAATCCTATCTAAATTCCTGAAGGCCTTAATCCTTAACTCATTTAACTTTCCTTAAAAAAATCAATAAATTTACAATAAAGAGTATAAAAGATACCTAAATTTTGAATTAACTTTTGTATAACAAATTAAAAAAATGAGTCTTTAAAACTTGGAGATAATAGGATAAATGAAAATTCTTATTACTCTAAACATCTCCCGACCCTAAATTTTTTGACAGCCTCTACACGAAAAGAGTATATGAGAACTCTTGGAAGTGGAAACAAACCCAAGCCAATAGTATACAAAGGAAAATGTATCTGGATTCCTACTAATTTGTACAATATGTTAGGTCAAGTAACTTAACTCATTGATTGATTTCACCAGTTCATATTTTTTAGTAATAATTTTCGTGGTATTTTAGGCTGGAAGTAAATTTACAGGAATCTTAAAGGTAATTAAATAAAGTTAGTAGTTACATTTGGAAGGAAAATTTAAACAACATTTAGGGATGAAGAACCAGGATAAATAAAATGTTAAGATAATAACATTTTGAGCAAATTGTATTGAGAATTATGTTATGAACCCTTGCTGTTTGTTTTTACTCTTCATTGTTCTTTGCATATGTATTTAGAACTTGCTGCTGATCCCATGCTTCTTCTCCACATGAGTCTATAAACATTGTTCGCCAAGCTTACTCTGTAGTTGTACCTTTCGGTGAAGCTGCTGCTGCAGAACTCGCACTTGAACTTCTTGCGGTTGCTCAGATGAGGCTTCTCGTGCTGAATCAGGTGCTTGCGCATGTTTCCTTTCTGAGTGAAGCCTTTGCCACAGAACTTGCACACATAGGGTCTGATCCCGTAGTGCATCCTGATGTGGTCTAGCAAGTTCCAGGTCCTCATGAATGTTTTGTGGCACCCATTGAACTCGCACTTGTAGACCATGACCATTTTACCATTCTTGGAGTTGGGCTGCACAGCTGAGGAGTACGGGTAGCCTTCGAGAGCTTGGAGGTTTTGGATGTTTGTCTGTGATGTTTGGTTTTGGATGACGTTTCTAGACTTGTTAATCCAATTTCAGATGACAAGATTAATAAATTTTAATGAAAATTGTGTTAGTTTTAAACTATTTCAAAATATTTGCTTTTGAAGCTTCTAATTTACCAATTTTAACATTAAGTAACTACTTTTAAACTTAGTGACACTCTTTTGATTCAAAGAGTCATAATTTTGTCTCTATTATTTGATCTTCGCTCTCAATTCTTCTCTGAGCTTATAAAAGTATCAAATATTAAATAGTTCTAGAGTCTCTAATGGCTAAAATCATCATATCTTTGAAAGCAGGATAAATCTCAAACTTTAAATTACCTGGTTTTGAGCTGAGTAATTCTTACATCTCTTTGTTCATAAGGCTTCCTTTCCTCTTCACTATCAGAGGATATATAAATTGGATCACTCTGAGTCTAGACCAAGCTTAGTCATTAAGGTTATGAATAACTTGATAATGATTATTAACTTACTTTTCCAACAGTGTAGGACATTATTGCTTTCTTTTTAATCTCTGAATTTTGGAAAGGAACTATAATTTTAGTCATGGAACAACCAAATCAAAGATTATGCTACACTTTATTAAACTTTAGAGCCTTTAAATGTCTCTCTTAGAAATCAAAGTTCCATTCAACTTACAGGTATCTGAAATATGGATGGGAGTTGGATGAGGCTGGCATTTCTGAAGCCATGGTCTTCCTTCAAAAGGACAAATGCAATAGAACTGGCCAAGGTACTTTATCTGCTTGTTTCTGAGCTCTATATTATAAAAATAGAATGTGGAATGTTAATGGTTGCAACAAGAATATTATCTGAAGAGAATTAGAAATATCAAATAAGAGTTACTTTATCACAAATAACAATTTTATCCTCAAAGTGGTAGGAACTAAGTATTGGATGGGAAATTCTAAACTAGCAAATTTCGAACACTGTAAATAAAAAAAGCTATTAATCGGGTTCTGAGCTAATATAATATTAATTTTATTTATCTCATAAATAGATTTCATTCATTTTAGCTTTATCAAGAGCATAAAAATAAATTGATTATCTTGTTTCTTAGATTTATTTTTTTATTTTAAATTATAATTCCTTTGATTCTTGTCAGCTAAACTCAAGATTTTTAAGATACTTATTATTTGAAAAATGCTGTCAGAATGCATTCACCAATGTCATAGAGCTCAATAAATGGAAAATAAAGTTGATACAAATTAGAACTCGCCAACAAGCAAATTGTTTATTTTTGAGGTAAGAACCCTCAAATCATTATTTTTACTTTACTAAACTCCTTTTATTCTCTTCTAACATCAAAATAACTTCCATACTTTTTCTCTACAAAACTCAAACTAAAAAGATCCATTGACTCTAAACTACAAAATTAGTTTCCCTTTTTGACCCCAAAAATATTGAGGCCTTATTAAAACCCTCAAGGATTTCTAAACTTCTAACTAACATTCAGTCCCTACCTCACCAAACTAAACTAAATCCTTCCTTTTTCATCACAGAATTCCTGAGTTGTCTACACATAAATAAAACTTGGCTTATTAATGCTACTAATAGTCCAACTTCCTTAATAACTCATGACTTAAAACTTAACGAAATCTGGATAGCCATCTCCCGAAGAATAAAGCAGCATGAAAAGTTAACACTTTGGTCGACAAGAAGTATTCACAGGTACTTGAAAGAAGTTCATAATTAGAAGCCTTAGTGATGGAACACCGATGGAATGTTCTAGAAATTTTAACTTTAGCTGGGCTTGAATAGAAATTTAGGAAACATTCAAACTTATGCTAATTTGGAGCCAAAGTAAGACCTTATTTTAAGAGGAAGTAATGGTATTTGCATGGTTTGTGCACTCTCCGGTATAGTTGGTAAATTCCGATGAAGTTTGAAGAGAAATTATAAACTTCTCTATGCTAAGCTAGCAATGTTAAATAAAAAATAGCTAGGATGAAAACTAAACCAAGATATCTACCCTAAAGTTTGCTAACAGTATTCCTTCCAAAATAATTTTGAGTTATGCTAGGACACGGGAAATTGTTAAAGTAAGGACTCCTAAAATAATTTTGAAATTTTCTATTTTTCCTAGTAACTCCAAATGAAGATCTGACCAAACTCATTAGCATCATGAGAAAAAATTGAATTAAATTAGATATAGTAAGCCTCAGCACTCTTCGATAAGCAAGATAATTATAATATCTTCTTCTATTATAAAATTTGAGTAATTTGATTGTTTTTACAGAAAATAAGGAAGAATGAGTTTAGCTGATTGTAAATGCCAATCACTAAAAACTTTCCAACAATGAACTTCCAAGTATATAATAGAAAAATGTGGTAAACAAAGCAATGGTTCCTTAGTTTGTCATTTCTATTTCTAGGAAGCGAAGAATCTGCTCAAGGCAATTCCTCTTTATAAACCAGAGGGCGAAATCCAAAAATTGCTTGGTTGTTTTGGTAATTTATCTGACCTTTGAAAGCCATAAAACTCATTTGGTTCAAAGTGGCCAACTGCTTGCTCATATTCTGGACTGGTTGTTTCAAGTGCAGATCCAAATGGCTTGGTGGATAATGCTCTGGAAAACCTCTATAGTAGCATGTCGCCTGATTTTTCTCCATAAAAGTGTCCATGTTAGAATGTATAGAAGAAATTATATTTTATTAAGTTAGTTTTCAGGAACAAATCCCTATATTGGGGTTTTGGGGTTTTGGGGTTTTGGGGGG